AGGTACTTTTTCTGATTCCCCTTTTAATTTGCTTACAATGTGACTTTTCAATCTAGGTCACGAATCCGTTTGGAGTTTACTTAGATATATGATACCTAATTTCTGCCAGACTATTATCTAGTTTTCTTAAGTTTTTGGTTACTAGTTAATCCTTATTTCAGGAATTGGAATCTTTGGGTATATTGAAAACTATCTTGTGTTTTTAATCTGTTCAAACTTTTGTTTTTTTAACCTGTACCAAATAGTTTTACTGATTATTGCTTTGTAGTATAGTTTTAGATGATTGGTATGCCCTCTTCTTTTCCCTTTTTTCATTATTTCCCTTAAGACTTTTGAACTTTTGTTCCTCCAGATGAATTTTATTTTTTCCCTAGCTCTATAACCAATAAGGAGTTTGTTGCTATGGCATTATGTGATTTTTAGGTAATATTATCATTTTTGGCCTATTGTTTCAGCCCAAACATAAACAATTAATACCGTTCAATTATTTGGATCTTTTTCTATAATGTTTTATAGTTGTATTCCTAAAATCCTTAAGTATGCCTACTATGGTGGGTTCCCAAATATATTATGCATTCCGTAACTAATTAGAATGATATTTCTCTATATCTTTCTGTTGGGTTGTGTCGGCAATATATAGAGAAGCTGATGATTTGAGTAGCTTAATGTCCTGCTACTTTGCTGAAATTATTTCAATTATTTTCAGTTGAATCTCTAGGATTCTCTAAGTAAACTATCACATCATCTACAAAAAACCCCAATATTTTTGTTTCCTTTTGCCTATGCTTATTCTCTCAATTTATTTTTATCTGTTGCTATAGCTAGCATTTCTAGCAACATACCAAATAAATGTGATGCATATGGACATCTTTGCTTTACCTTGGATCATACTAAAAAGGCCTATAACTTTTCTCCATTACATATAATGATGATTTTTGATTCTATCAGGGTTTCCTGAGGGCCAAAGACTCCTAAGGGGTTCAGAAATTTGGATGAGAAAAAAAAAATCACCAATTAAGCATTTCCTTCAATTATGAATTTAAAAACACACACACACACACACACACACACACACACACACACACACAAACACACATTAGTCTGAGGGGTCCACAGACTTCAACAGACAGCTAAAGTGGTCCATGATCCAAAAAAGGTTAAGAAGCCCTATTATAGATACTATTTATCACATATATTATCACTTATTTATTGCATATATCACACATTTACTCCTGAATTTTAAAATAGAAATAGGTGTTATTAAAATTATTTCTGCATTTATTGATATAATACTGTGATTTTTATTGTTTCAGGTTATTAATGTGGTCTGCTAAGCCTATAGTTTTCCTAAGTCAACCATGCCTTCCTGGTATAAATCCAATCTAGTCTTCAGGCTTTCTAATTTCTAGCTTTCCCACCTGCCCACAATTAATAAAATAACCTCTAACATACCTCAGAGAATTTTGTGGACTTTTAAGAGTTTTTCCAGTAGTTTGGGGCTTTAAAAAAAAGATTCTAAGTATCACTGCCACATAGATATTGTGGTCACAAAAATAAAATGAAATTTATAGTTGTAATTAGTATAAATGTGTTTACACTTCCTTGTTTTAAGGAGACTAAGCCCATCTCAGGCTGGTCTGGTAGTATAGGTATGTTACTGAAATAATGTAATACGTTCAGACACCATCCAACTTCCAAAAGTTCACTTACACATAGCATGGAAAGGTTATCCAGCAAGGACACAGCTTCAATTCAGCTGGACACAGCTTCTTTTGTTGATCATGCTAGCACAGAAGCATGTATCAATAAGAGGGATAAGCCTTCACTTCTCTTGCACAGGGTACTTCAATGGTTCAAGCCTTAGTCCCTTAGACCAATTAAGTCGCAAGGACACTTTTTAAAGAAAATTTAGTCTAGCAGTTGTTTTATAGAGGGTTTTTATATAGAGTTTTATATAGTTTCATATATTATAAAATATATTTATTTTATTTAGAGTTTTTGTAGTGAAAAGAGCACTGCCCGGCACATAGGAGGCACTTCATAAATGCGTAGTGACTGACACTAGAGCTAAGGTCAAATTCTAGCTCTGTTATTTATTAGTGTATAATTCTGGTCAAGCCTCTTGACTTCACTGAACATCAGCTGCTTAATTTGCAAAATGGAGTTAATAACATTTTCAAATCCGTATCACAGGACTTGCTGTAAGGATTCATTGAGAATTCTCTAAGGTGGGGCAGCTAGGTGGCACAGTGGATAGAGCACCAGCCCTGAAGTCAGAAGGACCTGAGTTCAAATCCAGCCTCAGACCAAACACTTGACACTTAATAGCTGTGTGACCTTGGGCAAGTCACTTAACCCCAATTGCCTAAAAAAAGTAAAAAAAAAAAAAGAATTCTCTAAGGCAACTAGGTGGCACAATGGTTAGAGTGCTGCTGGGCCTAGAGTCAGAAGACCCCCGTTCAAATCCAGCCTTAGATACTTCTTTGCAGTGTGACCCTAGGCAAGTCACTGTTAGCCTCAGTTTCCTCATATGTAAAATGGGGATAACAATAGCACCTACCTCCTGGGGTTATCATGAGGAATGAAAAAACATACGTAAAGTGCTTAGCACAGTGTCTGGCACCAAACAGGTACTATATAAATGTTAGCTATTATTATTTTTAAATATATCAAAGGACATTGTAAGTCATAAAATGATACGTGTATATAGATAGCAGATAAATGTGTCTATGTATTAATGTGTATAAACATATGTGTGTATACATGTGTGCATGTATATATATGTGCATGTGTGTATACAAACACCTGTGTATATGTGCTGCTACATTTCTGTTGGCAGCCAGAATGATGCACTAGGCAATTCTATCAGTTCAAATGTTATGAATGCAGTTTCTTCAACATTTATCAGGCTGTGGCAGCACTGACCTATTTTTCTGAGATTACAGATTGATGATGATCAAGAAAAAGGTATCTGCGGGGCAGCTAGGTGGTGCAGTGGATACAGCATCGGCCCTGGAGTCAGGAAGACCTGAGTTCAAATCCAGCCTCAGACCAAACACTTGACACTTACTAGCTGTGTGACCCTGGGCAAGTCACTTAACCCCAATTGCCTTAAAAAAAAAAAAAGGTATGTTGCTTTTATAGTTGAGAATGATTTCATAAGATAAACTTTTAAATCATTATTCCTATAAAACACAATTAATAGTCTATCTGTTTCCCTAGTATACAATGTTGTCATGAATAATTATGAGTTCAAAACATCAAGTTTGTGTTCAGAAAAACCAAAAGAAGCAATGTTTTCTTACTCATGAAAAATGAGTATAAAGCCTATTTCTAACTTACTTCACAAGGCTTTTGAAAAGGTTATTGAGAATGAGGCTTTGAGGCTTCAGAGAAAAGATCTGAGTATCACTGCCATACAGGTCTTTTGTTAGCAAAGAAAAGATGAGGTTTGTAGTTGAAAAGTACGTAGAGATGCTTTTGCCTCAGAGTCACAAACTCTAAGTACCAACTTTATGCAAGGCATCAGACCATGCACTCTTTAACTTAACCATTGATTTTACGGCCTTAAGACAGTATTTATGATGTCTTTTATAATTTAACAAGAATAATTTTTCCAAATATTCAAAGAATGTTTGGTATCAGAGTAGGGATATTTGATTAGGAATTAGGAGTTCCAAAGTCACTCATTCCAGTACCGACTTGTAGTATTTGAGTGACTGAGTGCTTGAGTACTCCCCCCACTAAGAGATCTCGCCAAGTCTTCCTATCCTGTGTGATTCTTGTCCATGTCCTTCTGCAAATCCTTCAGAGCACAGGTGTCTGGCCCATAACACTTCTGAATGTAGCCCAAACCAGATTAAAATGTAATTGGGAAATATTTAATGAAATAAAAAAAAACACAAAGATAATACATTTTGAAACAAAGTCAATATGTAACCTGCAGTGATCTTTATGTATGGATTAGTGGGCCCCATTTCTACTTGAGTTTGAGACCACTGCTCAGAGGACCCAGTTATAGGGTTAAGACTGCCTTCCTCTGCTTCTTTTGGTGTATTAGGGCTACTTAAAGCAACGAAGCACTTGAGATGTCTGTTGTCTCACATCCTTGCTACATGACTAGCCCCCTCCCTTTCCTGGTCAGATCACAGAATCTCTGAGTCAGAAGGGATTTCAGAGTCCATCTATGTTAATCAGGTCTATATTTATGTAGGGATCCCCTCTACAACCATCCAAGTGAAAATCTGTCCAGCTGAAACTTAAAAACCTCCAAAAAGGGCAAAGCCCACTACCACCCAAAGCAGCTCCTTCCACTTTGCGATGGCTCCAAATGACTAGGAAAACAGTCCTTCCTTCAAACTGAAATCTACCACCTGTGCCCACTGTTTCTGCACCTGGTGGCCACGCAGAAATCTAATCTCTCTTCAAAATAACAGCCTTCAAATATTTGAAGACAGCTGAATATATTTAAATCCCTTCAACCAATCCTCACACGGCAGGATGAGGCATCCTCAGTTTGTAGTTTTGCTAGCTGCAACTTCACTGAGACCCTTCCTCATCTGTGAGGGTGCAAGACTAGACTGTGCTCTGACTGACACTCAACAAAAGGTGCTCTTTCATCAGAAGCATGAACATTTTGTGGGAGCCTCATGCCATGAGTGATGCTGTTCTACAGAGTTATAACCTATAGGTTATAGGTTCTCTCCAGTTTTTCCCCCACTGTGATTCATATTAAAATTAAATTTTTTTTTTTTGGCTTTTTGGTGAGGCGATCAGGGTTAAGTGACTTGCCCAGGGTCACACAGCTAGTAAGTGTTAAGTGTCTAAGGCTAGATTTGAACTCAGGTCCTCCTGACTCCAAGGCCAGAGCTCTATCCACAGAGCCACCTAGCAGTCCCTAAATTAAATTTTTTGCAAAAAGATGACTAATAGGTGCTATGGAATGTTTAAACAGCATTTAAATCTTTCTGAATTATCAAGGAAATAATGAGCCATCTCAGTACTATAAAATGATTTTAATATCTTTTTTTCCAAGACTGAATATAGAGATGCAATGCTAATAATGTATTCTTCTGCTGTAATCGAGGGTGGAACACATCAAAATCCACTCTTTGAATTTTTTCTAAATAGTCCTCTAAAGCAACCTGAAAATGGAGAAAAGAGTTTAGTTAGTACAACATTAAAAACATTAATCATGTGAAAGAAACTTGAGAGAAATTACAATGATTATTATAATTGACAGATAGGTGATGTGGACATAGTGCTGGACCTGGCATCAGGATGACCTAAACTGAAAGCCTGCCTCATACACTTAACAGTTGGATCACCCTGGGCAAATCCTTTAACCTTTCTCAGCCTTAGTCTCCTTATCTGTAAAATGGGAATAATAACATCTAATTCACAAGGTTAGCACTATATGTAAAACACTTTGCAAACCCTAAAGCACTATATAATGCAAGTGATGATGATAAAAACTGTTTCCATGGTAAAAGAACCTTATATGACCCTTTGCTCTGAAATACTATATTAATAAAAAAAATTTTTAATGTAAAAATAACACCAGTTATATGTTTTTCTTTTATTAAATGTCTACTGTGTGCATGACACCAAAGTAGGTACTTGGGTATACAAGCCAAAAACAACAACAAAAATTCCCTGCACTCAAGGAGATTATTTTCTACTTCAGGAATACTCCACTTATACAAATAATTTAACAAAAGATACTCATCACCAGTAGGCTGGCCACTAGATGAATTTTTTTGCCACAGCAATTCATGAAACTATCTAAGGTATAAAGGGGTTCTGATCTTTGTTGATGGAAAAAGCACCCACAATGATTAATTCATGGATATTTTGAAGTACTATAGTTAGAGCAAACTTGAATTTAACAAAAATACTTTTTTGTTTACAATTTACGGAGTTCCTCTTAATGAAATAATCAGCTAAGATGTGAATGCCAACGTAACTACACAGTAGCTGTCTGACCTCATTGTTATAACTAAATTATGCTAGAGTATATGAAAAACAATAAAGGAAAAATGTCAGTCATGGGAAAAAATGTGAGATGAAGGTCAATGAAATCTGAAGGTCAATTATGTCAACGAAAAAAGTTGGCAGAACAGATTATGATGAAAGATGGCTCAGATTTTCTCTATCATAAAGTCGGATAGGGATAGGAGCTAGATCCATGATTTCTTTGGAATAGGGAACTTCTACATGAAGAAACTCCTTTTACTGATACAAGTCAACACCTTCTCTGAAACTTAAAAGTCTTTGAGAGCTGCTTAGGGCACTTGTCTAGGGTCACGCTGCCAGGATATGTCAGAGGCAGGACTACAACCCAGGTCTTCTTGGCTCTTAGATCAGTTCTTCACACACTGTATTTTATTCGCCCAGCAAGAACACAGATGACTTAAATAACTTTACTTTATGATATGAAAGGCAGTCTGGTGTAGTGGACACTGAGCTGGCCTCAGCGCTAGGAAGGCTTGGACTGAAGTCCTGTCTGTGCCAAATCCTGACTGAGAGACCCTGTCAAGTCAATCACTCAGGGTTCTAAACAATTTTCTAAAACTAGAAGTTGCAGGGAAAATGCTAACCTGCATCAGTAGTAGGAGTTTGTTCTTCTGGGAGTTCCCAATGAAATCATAGGTCTAGTCCTGATCCCTATCCCTAGTCTACCTAGCCTCCACTCCTGCTAAAAGACTCATTCACGCCCATCAATTGGGGAATGGTGAACAAGCTACAGTATGTGATCACGACAGAATACTATTGGGCTATGAGAAATGATGAGCAGGATGCTCTCAGAAAACCTGGAAAGACTTACATGAGCTGGTGCAAAGTGAAATGTACTGTGTACAAATAACAGCAATATTGTAAGACGATCAGCTATGGAACTTAGCTATTCTCATTAACATAATGATCCAAGACAACTCTGAAGGACTCATGATGAAAAATGCTATCCATGCCCAGAGGAAGAACTGATGGTGTCTGAATACATATTGAAGCATACTTTTTTTTGTTTTCGTTATTTTTCTTGAGGTTTTTCTTTTCTTTTCGGTGTATGTTTTCTTTCACAACATGACTGTTATGGAAATGTTTTGCATGACTACACATGAATGACCTATATCGAATTGCTTCTCAATGAGGAGGATGGGGGTGGGGTGTTAGGGAGGAAGGGAGAGAATCTGGAACTCAAAATTTTAAAAACTAATGTTAAAGATTGTTTTTATATGTAACTGGGGAAAAACAAAATATTAAACAAAAAAATTTAAAAAGATAAGTAAAAGTCTAAAACAAATAAAAAAAAATCCTCCTTCATACAAGCATACTGGAGGCCCCTATGCCCCCTGCTGGCTCCTTCCTGCCCAGCCCTGAGCCAGGGGCTGCTGTCAGCTCTGGCCTCTCACGTACTTCGGGGCACACTGGGACACTCAGGAGCCTTGCCCCCTCCCCCTAAGTTGCCAGGTTTTCTCCTGTCCAATAACTGGGAGAGAATGGAGACGTCACTGCCTGTCTCCCATCCCAGAAGGGCCCTAATCCAAGATGCTCTCCAGCTTGGCTGCTGTCCCCAGGGCTTTTTTTAGGATCTCCTGACATTGGTCCGATACCTACATGTGATCCTTCTGCCTGCTCTAAGCAGGTTTCCTTGGGCTTTCATGGAGCACATCTACATTTGGCATGGGGCTAAACCTCAAGGGAGGATTTTGAAGAGTAATCTCGTGCCTCCCTCAATGAACTTCTCTCCAATCAATTGGTACTGTAGCTGGACTCACTGTTTATTGCTCCCAGTCACTTACACTCACTCCAGTACCTATATAGACCACCTTTGTTCCCCGTTCTCCACTTGCCACTGCCAGAGGCTTCTACCCACTTCCCTATCTCAGCCTCTGGGGGAACCAACTACATTGTTCTTCAGCCTCATGATTCCCTTGCCCCCTCATTGCAATCCTGTCAAGCCAATAGTAGATTATTCCCACAAGCCACTTCTTTGCTCTTAATCACTTGATGCTCAACAGAGCTATAAGAAATCACAAAGCCATGCTAACTGGGCCTTCTAAAAATTTCCATTATCTAAGCTTGATTGGCCCACTACAAATTTATATTATCTAATCTCACAAGGCAAACATTCTATTCCTCACTAACTGATTCACTACCCCATTCTCAGTGGCTATTCCAAACCTTGTCTCTCCTCAAGCCTCCTACAGCATCCCTCCTCTCAGTCAAGGACTTTGCCTCATACTTTACAATAAAATAAAATAAATAAAAAATTAGACCATTTACCAAGAATTCCTCCTCTCTCCTCTTCATCTCCTACCACTCAAAATTTTCCTTCTACTATCTCCTCCTTTAACTATGCTCTCTGATGAAGAAATAGCCCTTCTCCTTGCCATGACAAAACTGTCTACAATTGACCTTGATCCCATTCTATCCTAACTTTCCTAGTAAACTGCATACCCTACAACCCCATCACTCACACTCTCTCTGATCTTCAATTTTTTTCCTATTTACTTGTTCGTTTTCTGCTACCTATAAGATGATCCAACCATGCTGGCTAGTTATCATCCTACAGGTCTCCTTCCCTTTATGGAAAACTCCCTTGAGAAAGCATTTTATACTCAGTGCCTCCACTTTCACTCCTCTCTCTCTCTTCTATACCCTTTCGAGCTTCTGACCTCATTCAACTGAAATTGCCCTCTCCAAATTTATCAATGAGACCTTCCATAATCTGGCCTCAATCTACCTTTTCAGCCTCACCTCTCACTACTCCCCTACACGTAACCAACACTTACAGGCCCACTGGACTGCTCTGCACTGGGAAAGAGGCCACGTGGAGATCTGTTGAAGTTAGCAACTGATGAAGAGAAAATTTTAGGATGTCAAGTGGGGAGTACAAAACATAATAGGTGTTTTCAAATATTTGAAAGGTTGTCATGTGAAAGTAGTATTAGACTTCTGGTTTGGTTTCAGAGGAAGAACTAGGTGCAATAAGCAGATATTCATAGGATCACATAGAAATAACTGGAAGAGATCTCAGAAGCCAGCTAATCCAAATTCCTCTTACATATGAGGAAACTAAGTGAGGCTCAGTGATCTTCACAAGGTGACACAGGCATTAAGTGTCAGAGATGGGATTTGAACCCACATCCTCTGACTCTAGGGCCAGTGCAGAGAAGAACAGAAAAGATTTAGGCTTGATGTAAGGAAAAAGTTCTCAATCATTAGAATAGTGCCCCTCCTCCCCAAATCATTAGAACAGAATAGTCTCTGCCTTAGGAAGTAGTGAATCTCTTCTCATCAAAGGTCATCAAGAATGAATGACTATTTGTTAATGATTTTACTGAAGACTAATCTGTTCGGTTACTAGTTGGACTAGAATGAATGACTATTTGTTAATGGTTTTACTGAAGACTAATCTGTTCAGTTACTAGTTGGACTAGATGATTTTTGAGGTCTCTTCCACTCTGAGATTCTGGGAATTCAATTCCCCAAATGCCCTACAGCCTCCAGTTTCCATGCCTTTGTTCATGCCAGTCCTTCTACCTGGAGGGCACTCTCCTCTCTACCTTTGCCTATCGAATTCCCACTTATCCTTCAAGACCCAGTTTTAAATGCTACCTCCTCTCTGATGTCTTCCTGTGAAATCCCATAGTACTCTATATTGCTTGCTATATTTTCATACTATACTTTGTATTATAGTATAGTATTTTGTACCTCCTTCACAATCCCTCTACACTTTAATAGCTGACTTAATGAGGGTTATGGCTAAGCTTCTAGTAATATACCTTTCCAAAATTAACTAGACTGGTCTCTGAACAACCATTTGTTGCTTAGCTTTTCTAGCTAAATGAATAAACTTTCCAGAGTTTGTATTTTACTAACATAGCCTTCAAGAACCCATCTTCCCATCACAATAAGAAAACAGGATTTCAGTGGAGGGTTTTACACATAGTAGGAGCTTAATTGTTAATTGTGGTATATGAATGTAACAGATTATTATGCTATATGAAATTATGATTATGAAGAATTCAAAGTAGTATGGGTAGACATGAATTGATGCAAAATAAAGTAAATCTAACCAAGAAAACAGTATATACAATGACTACTACAATGTTAATAGAAAAAAAAAAAAGAAAAAAGTGAAACTAACTACTGTATATTCATGATGAACGAGCTTGGTTTCGAAGAAAAGACAAAAAGTGTACCTCCAATTCCTTACTGCAAGAGTGTGGAATAGTATATATATTGTCAGACTCAACTGAAAAGTTAGTTTTGCTGAACTGCTTTTCTTTCTTTTTAATATTTTGTTACAAGGGATGGCTGTCTGGGCAAGAGTCAAGAGAAGAATTTTTTTAAAATTCAAAAATGAAGGTGATATAAAAACAAAATACATCAATTAAATTTAAATCAAGAGTTGTTATTAATGAATGAAAGGAATGTAAACTGCTAGGTGGCTCAGTGGAGAGTGCACTGAACCTAGAGTCTGGAGACCTAAGTTCAAATCCTGCCTCAGATACTTACTAGCTGTGTAATCTCTTAATCTTAAATTTAAACTTAATCTCTGTAATCTTAATCTCTGTTAAATTAAGCTCAACAAATATTTACTAAATAGGACATGCTTTCTATATCCTTCACAGCCTTTACTGGTACCTCCTCTAGTTTCTATACTAGTTTATTAATATCCCTCTTAAAATACAGTGTCTAACACAAAGCAAAATATTCTAGATGTGGTCAAATCAGGAGAAAAGCAGAAGCGGGTAATTATCTCCCAGGTTCCAGACACGAATAATTCTATTAATGCCGCCTACATTTTCTGAAAGTCATCTCACATAACTAATTCACAATCAATTGATCAACAAACATTTATTAAGCTCCTAGCATATGCTAAGCACTAGGATATAAAGATAAAAATGAAACAGTCCCTGCCCTCAAGGGAGTTACAATCTACATATACACAGTGTGTATGTATGCATGTATGTATGAATATTCATGTATATACATATATACATAATTACATATAAAATTAATTTAAGTTAATTAGGGAAGAGAGGGACTAGCAGCTGTAAGGACCAGGAAACGTCTCATGTAAAAGGTGTTGTTAAGAGCTGAGCTTTGAATAAGACAAGAGGTTCTAAGAGTCAGAGAGGAGAGCAAAATGCCTTCTAGCCATGAAACCTACACAAAGTCCTGGAGATAGAAGATAGAGTATCATATGTGAAATCTGCAGTCTTTTTTCTGTATTAAACAAGCTTAACCTACAATGTAATTAAATATAGTTGATTTTCTAAATCTAAGTATAAGTCCTTACATTTATTCCTATGGAATTTACCTATTGGATCAGGAGTTCTTAACATTTTGTGTCATGGACCACCTTTACAAATCTGATGAAACCTTGGGCTGCTTTCTCAGAATAATGCTTTTAAACATACAAAATACATGGATTATAAGAGAAATCAATTATATTATAATAAATATGTATTTTTTTTACTGTCTAAATTAATGGACCCTCTGAAATTTAACTAAATTCCTTGAGGGTCTTTGAAGCCCAGGTTAAGAACACCTATATTAGACTGATCCTATTTTTCCAACCTATCAATACAGATCTTACTAAATCTTGATTCCATTTCCCAGCATAACAGCTATCTCCTCCATCTCTGTGTTGCTTACAAGTTTCAAAAGAGTGTAGTCTTCATCTATGTCATTGATAAAAAGATTTTTCTTTAGGCTGAGGACTTTCTGTATTTAAGACTTATCAGCATTTACTATACCACTTCTTTCGTCAATCAATATGCACTGCATATCCATTCAAACAAACACAATAGAATACTATAATTCAACACTTAAATTACAGATTTCTACACTTATTTTATATTTTACTAATGATCTGTATGTGTACTATAAACATATGGTACATAGTTCACACATAGCTTGTCTGAAAACATAGCAATTTGTGAAATAATTAGAATGTAACTGTGTATTGTATTAAAAATTTCTTATAGAAAACCTAGAACCAAATGCTGGGAAACAGAAGGAGGAGCTGGTAATGTTTTAAAACATTCTTTAGGGAGACAGTTGTTTCTTTCTTTATATGCCATAAGAGGATCTTCATTCTTAAAACTTACAAAAACAAAGAAAAATAAAAACCAAAAATAACCAACATTACAGACATAAATTTGTAGTAATTTTAAAACATATAAGATCATATATACCCAGGCCCATAAGTACTGTGGCTCTGTCTGTTAGTCTACTTACTGTCTGAAGAAAAGCAGGAAATGCTTTCACAGGAACACTTTTCTGGAAGGATCTGGCCTAAAAAAAACAAGGAGAGGAAACTGACTTGATGCAGAAATTCCCCTCAAAATAAATAACTCTCAAAGTGAACAAAAAGCTCTAAATCCACACAAAACAAACCTACCAGAGAAAGTCACAAAATTGCAGCATTTCCAAACTGGGAGGGTAGTAACATTTCCTTTAGTTCAACCTGTAAGTAATCCAGAATCCCCTCTAGAACATCTCTGACCAAAACAGTAGCACAGCCTTTGCTTAAAGAGCCCTGGGGCTGGGGAACCCACTTCCACTCAAAAGCAACCCACTCCATTTTTGGACAACTACAATTGTGAAGAAGTGTTTTTTTTTTTTATATTCACACACTTTGTAACTTCTATCCACTTCCTGGCTAGATATCCTCTGAAAAAAAGAAAATTAAACTTTTCTGTTTAAGTAGATCAATGAATGTTACTAGAGTTAAAAACTTCTATAGCTACAAAACCCAGAGAAAAAGAAGCTATGGTTTTAGGAAACTACTTTTTGTTCTACAGACTAACTTTGACATTTCTTATGATTTGTCTTCTCTTGGACAAGTAATTTCTCCTGTCTGGGCCTCAGTATCCTGATCTTTGAGATAAAAAAGGCTAGACTCTATAATCATTACAAAAGATCCTCCCAGTTTTGGTGTCCCATATCCTAATTATAACACAAATTAGAATATGAAAAGTGCACACAAGTCAGAATGTCTAGTGACATTTAATGAAATGATCACTTCTAAAGGCAGAATCAAGGATGGCTTCATGGAGAAAATGGTGTCTATGTTGGGCCTTAGGGGTAAGGAAAGTATTTTAACAGAAGAAGCTTCCATTCCACATATGGCAGGTGGCATCGTCAAAGACACGTAGGCATAAGAAGGCAGAACGACAGCAGGTGACATCTCACTGTGCAGTCTGGTCAGGATACAGAGTAAGGTGAGAGGCAGCGAGGCATAATGGAAAGACTGCTGAACTTACAGTCAGAAGATCTGGGTTCAAATCTTACCTCAGAATAGCTGTGTGACCCTGGCAAACCAATTTACCTCACTGAACCACTGCTTCCCAATTTTACAAATGAGGAAGTGAGATGACACATACAAAATGCCTTGTAAATCTCAAGCGCCACATAAATGTTAGTTATTAGGGTATAAAATTAAGCTAGACTTCAAAAGACTGATGATGAAGCATACCTCTGGCCTCCTGGCAGAGAAATGATGGACCAGATGTGTAAAATGAGACATATGTTTTCTGGCATGTCAATATGTTGATTTATTTTGCTTAACTATATTTACTGATACAAGGAAAATCTTCTAAAAGGAAAGTTACCATGTGGAGCCTGAGGTTATAGATGTATACAAAAAATACACAGAAGAAAACAAAAAAGTTCAGAAAGGGGACATAAATAGAGTAATTTTGTTATAACCTTGTTAAATTTAACATACATGTTTAAAAAATAAAATAAATATGATAACTGTTCATGGTTTCATATATAATCTGCATTTTTGTTCTTTGTACATTGGAATATACAATATTCAACACTTGTGCAGTGGGAAAGAACCCTGGGCTTTGGAAATCAGGAAGGCTCATCTTCCTTAGCTCCAATCGAGCCTCAGACACTTACGTGCTGCGTAACTGTGGCCAAGTCACTTAACCCTGTTTGCCTCAGTTTCCTCATCTATAAAATAAGCTGGAAAAGGAAATGGCAAACCACTCCAGTATCTTTTCCAAGAAAATCCCAAATGGGGTCACGAAGAGTTGGATGTGACTAAAAATGACTGAACAATATTGGAATATTTGTTTTTGTTGATGATTTAAGTTCATAATTTTTAAAAAAGGAAAGAAAAAAGCAACACTGATTGGAGACTGATTATGGAGGACTCTGCCAGGAAATGGGATGTATATTTTATCTTTGAGACAACAGAAGGCTACTTAAAGTTTTTGAGCAGAGTGGTAACATAATCAGACTTATGTATAAATAATATGTTGTGGTAAAAGAAATGCAAACTATCAACAAACATTTAAAAAAAATAAACTTTCCAAATCAATAAGAAAAGAAATGCAAATTAAAATAACTGAGGTTTCACACTTCATACCCAGCAAATTGGCAAAAAGAAGTACTTAATATAGGATGAGCTACAGGAAAATAGGCACACTAATATACTGTTAGTAGTGAAACTCTTCAGCTGTTCTGAAAAACAATTTGGAATCTTTCTAAAACAGTCACTAAAGTGTTCAAACCATTTCACCAAATGATCCCACTGCTGGGCATATACTCCAAGTGGGTCAAGAACAGAGAGTCACCAAATACAGCAAAATATTTATAGCATCACTTTTTGCGGCATCAAAAAGCCTAAAACAAAAGTGAGGGCCCATTGATTAGAGAACAGCTAAACAAATTATGGCATATGAATGTAATGGAATATTACTACACCATAGAAAATGACAACTTTGAGGAATTCAGAGAAACAAGAGACAACTTGTATAAAATGATATAGCGTGTCAGGAGAACAAACATACACAATGACTAAAAATGTTTTCTGGTACAATAGAACAGTTGCTTGAGAAGAACCTATGGAGTTAAACAAAAGTTTGCTTATTTTCCAGAAAACCTCAGCTTATATCTGGGTTGAAGAAAACAAGTCAGCGGAAAAGGTGCTATTTAGTGGACTGGTGCCATTCAGGAGTATTACTAACAGAGCAAAGCTGTGAAATAGTCAGGTGGGATGGACTTGATATTACGGTTATAGAGCAATTAGCCTTAGAGAGAAAATGACATGTCTTCCCTGAAATAGGATAAATAAGAGGATAAACATAAAGACAGATACTTTAAGGAAGAAGGAGGATAGAGAGAATTAATGCCAGTTCTTCTCGATGACGACGTGAGACCCCTTCATCTAGTAGTTAAAACTAGGAGTCTGAAAAGAATGAAGAATAGCTTCCCAAAGGAGCTGTGTGAAGGGTCACTCAATACAAGATGAATCTAAAGGATTCTAAGCAACAGATACCAAAACAACATTCTAGAAAACACTGTATCTAGGGATTAAAATATACTATATCCATTAGTCCAAAAAAAGAAACTTACATGTTTTAAATGAAGATGTCCCTGGCTGGCAATATCATAGATTACATCCCTCACATTTTTATTTTGGTTCTTACGTAAAAAATCTTCTTGTGAAACACCGTGCTGTAAAAGAAAACTCAGATTAGGGTGTTCTTAACACACCTAAACCTAATTTACCAGCTTAAAATAAGTTCCTGGGATAATAGGTGAGTAATTATCCATCATACAACAATAACTTCACTGGTAGAGTGTGAAATCATTGAACAAAAAGACATTAGCAACAAAGGCTTAAGAGAACAGACAGCAGCAATTTCTTTCCCAAAAATTAAAGATTACATTTTTTTTTTACAAAGTAAAATGCTTTTGTTAATTTTAAATGTATTTTTCCCTCTTGACTACTTGTGAGCAGTCTTCAGGAAAAGCTGACCTACTAGAAAGATTTCTCTGACTGCTTGGCGTGAGGAAGACAAGACAGACAGAGAGAACTGTCTTTCTTTACTTCACCACCATCACCAATAACAAATGCCTGATAGGATAAAACTATGATTTGAAGATATGTGTGAGATGACATGGAAAGAAGTATGTATGCATTTTTCTTTCAGGCTAAATCAATTATCTCTGTTGAACACAGAACTAAAGAAAACTCACATTACATTCATATTTCAAATTCTTAGCATTCTCAGAAGAGAAAACATTTATCAGTTTGCAGTTTATTGTTAGCTTCCCTTTTGGATTTTCTTACCAGCATGCAAATGTCCATAGGAAGAAACACCTTTCGTCTACTAATATGATAGGGCGTTGCTCTCAAACATGTGACAATGCCTTGTGCTTTCCCAATATGACTTGCAGCATGATCTGCATGGAGGTCCCTTATACCTATTTTTTTTTAAATTAGGAAGAAAGTTTGTTAGCTTTATTTGCATGTCATAAGTTTATAGGTAATATATATATTTTATGTCTGAAAAAAAGACTGAACAGACTGAAAGCATAATCATACAAAAAGGGTAAAGCAGATGACCACTTTACCACATAATGGGTTTCAAAATTGAAACAACTTAATAAGAAGTCTCCTCAGATTACACTAAACCAAGAGCACATCTAGGATTTAATCACCTTTTAAGAACTCTATACCAATCTTTCCATTGTCTTCTTTTCAGTATAATTTCCATATGATCTCATTCTAAGGAATATGCTTTGCAAATAAACCATTCTGTTCTTTACTCTTCTCATTATTATAGTAAATGCCTCTGGGTGTGTTTTTAAGAGAAAACAGAATAAGAATTTTTATTACTCAGAGTGCCATAATGACATAGTTTTCTTTAAAAAATAATTATAAAACATTATCCTTGGCCTAAAGAACTTACTAATTATAATAAGAACTCACTAATCTGGAACATAAGATTAGAGAGAAAAAATCCTGCCTAAACTAATAAGAAAAAAAAAACTCTACAAAATGAAGAAATATTTTAAGAAATGCTCTTCTGTTACACATAAATACATATAAAAACATTATTAACAAGGCACAAAGAGGAGTATAAACCAAATCATGGGTCTCTGAAAAATCTTATAAAAATACTTGAGTGATTAAGTTGAGATGTAACATATTAGAGTAAACAGAGTCCAGATGACATGGATTCAACTCCTTCCTCTGACAGGTACAGATTTAACTTCTCCATGTGCTAGGCAACTATGGCTATAAGTTAGGAATGCGCTGTTGACTCACATTGATAAAAAATCAGTTTTTCCCCTCAAAAATAGATTAGTTACTAATCATTTTTAATGAGCAGATTGCTAACTACAAACAGAAATGATGATGCCAAAGCATTTTTACAAGTGCTTTAACATTTCTGGTCTTAAACTACTGAAAAGGCTATTCTAGTAATTTGTTCAGCAAACTTTTTTCTCCATAGATAATACTAAGACATATACTTTATTTCTAATCCTACTAGGATAAATTCTCAACTAGAATAAAACAGGTTTTATTGGAAGGAAATATCAAGTGGAAAGTGCACATACCCAATACTTCCAGCATCAAGTAAAGAAGGGAACTTTGTGTGTTTTCAGCATATGTTTCTAGTTCTTGGATGTTTCGATATGCTGTGTCATCCAAATTTTTTTCCTAGAGTCAAACCACAAATATAAACAAAGTTTGCTAAACCATCAGTATTTTGTTTTCACTCTAAGTAGTGAATATTTTTTTATTTTTGATAATGAGGTTGACGCACGCCTTGCCACAGCTAGCTCAGTGTTTGGGAGGCTCCAAAGGAAAGTATGGGAGAGAAGAGTATTAAACTGACTACCAAACTGAAGGTCTACAGAGCCACTGTGCTGACCTCATTGTTGTATGCCTGTGAAACCTGGACGGTATATCAGCGCCATGCCAGGAAACTGAACCACTTCTATTTGAATCGTCTTAAGAAGATTCTGATGATCACCTGGCAGGATAAAGTACCAGACACTAAGGTCCTTTCTTGAACTAAACTGCCAAGCATTCAAACTCTGCTTCAAAGAACACAACTCCAATGGGCAGGCCACGCTGTTCAAATGCAAAACATACTCTTGCCTGAAAGACTATTTTATGGAGAACTCACACAGGCAAGAGTTCACATGTTGGTCAGAAGAAGCAATACAAGGACACTCTCAAGGTCTCTCTTAAGAACTCTGGAATTGATTAGACACTGGCACGGGACCGGACAGCATGATGTGCCCTCATCAGAGAAAGTGCTGTGCTCTATGAGCAAAGCAGAATTGAAGTAACTCAAAAGAAACGTGAGATGTATAAATTTAGTGAACGCACCCCAAGTGTTCACATAGACTATTTGTGCCAGACCCGTGGTAGATCATTCCAAGCTTGTATTGGTCTGATCAGCCACAGTTGGACACAATGAAACTTGACTCTAGCATAGTGATGTCATTTTGGTCCTCTTTGAAAATGAAGGACAACAACCAAGTAGTGAACAACAAAGAATAAAAATCATATTTAACTCACAGCTCAGGAATAAAAAAAAAATGAGGACTTAAAGTTCCCTTCTAGTCAATATCATATATACTTGCCCTCAAAACAATACATGCACAATTACTTCAATGTACAAATCACCATGACAACACAGGGATTCATTTCTATTTCTTTCTAAAGATCAAGAGATGAAGGAGAGCACAAGTTTTAGGGTTTTTTTTTTTAAGACAGGGAGAGGAAAAGACGAAAGGGGAACCATAAACATATGAAGAGGAAAGAAACAGTTCTAAAAATGATACAAAAAACGTAAATGGTTATACTTAAAACAGTTATCTTGTTTAAAGAATACAACATATTTGGAAAACAGAAAAGAACAACCACTGGTAGCTTACAGTAAACACAACTAACTATACTACACATACACAGAAAATAAAAATATAGACTGAATAAAGCCAGCTCAACTAACATAAATAAGATAGAAGTGTGGGCCTTGTTAAGCTAAGTCAGTTAAGTTACTCAGTCAGCAAAAGAACAATTTACACAATAACAACACTGTAAAGAAAATGAACTTTGAAAGACTTAGTAACTCTGATCAATGAAATGAGAAACCACAATTCTGTAAGATGGATGATAGACCCAAGGTGTAGAATGAAACACATATTTTTGGACATGGACAATGTAGAAATTTGTTTTGCTTGACTATTCTTTATAGCTAGTTAGAAGTATTTTTAAATTTTTTTTAATGGAGATAGATAGTTGGGAGAAGGTCTTTAACAACATTAGGAGAGAAGGGCAGGGGAAGGGAAGAGAGAAACAGCACAGCTCTGAAAGTTACACGTTGAATTTCTTCTATGCTTAAAGAAAAAAAAAGAAGCTATATGTATGTTTTAAATGCAATCCTCTTTTTCATTTTTACTTTATATATGGAAACTATATGGCATTTTGTTATGTTCAGAATTTTTTAAAACAATTTAAATAACAAAAGTTACTTGGTTAGTATATGGCACTAATGAAGCCAAGGTTGCAGACCTAATCCCAGAGAAGGTCTAACACAAAAAATTCCTAAACCCTATCAACCATTTCACAAAATGCAAAACACAAAAGGACTAGGCAAAAACACATGGAAGATTCTGAACAACTTATTACCATATTTGGAAAAAATTTCCCTTGTGTCTAACTGACTCAGAGGATTGTATCTTCTAGTGCTGTTTTTACAAGAAAAGAATATGTTTCCCCAGTAGACATTTGGTAATCAGCAAAACAGACCTACTTGGAGACCATTACTGCTTAGGGGAACCACCAGCAGTAGGCCATAAGTTGTTTCTAAGCAAATACCTATGACTTAATAGTACCTATGACAATATAGGAAACATCAAATTAAGAAAAAATTTGAACTGGGTGTCAAAAAAAAATCTAAATCTGTTCTTGCCCCTAACAATGATTGTGACCCTGAGTGCTTATTTAATTGTACTTTACTTCAGTTTTTCTTATTATTCAAAAAGGGATAAAAATAACTGAGCAAAACCAATTTCATATAGGTATTCAAGAAATTTTTTATAAGATATATGTGATGTGCTCTGGGCTTCTCAGCAGAAAAGTATATTAATAAAGGCATCATTAGTAATTATTGGAATATTAAAATATGAGTTAACGGAAAATTACAATTACTTCAAGAATCATATTCTTGCTTTCATAATTTCTCAAGCAAAGCCATCTTTTTCGATGTAAAAATTGTTTCTTCAATTAGCTATGTTTTACTTTAAGAAAACTGGATCCACAAAAAACTAGGTCTCCAGAAGTGAGATTCAACAAGCATTTACTGAACACCTACTATGAGCAGGCCACTAAGAATACAAAGGCAAAAACAAAAAATAGTCCTTGACCTCAAGGAAATTTGTTTTCATTTAAATTGAAGACTGCCTTTAAATTGCAAGTCATCCCCATAACATTTTAAATAATTCAATTTACAACATTATTTTTAGTTATGATAAATCAAAAATTACATTTATACAAAATTTTCAGGTATTAAGAAAAACATATTCAAAGTCATACATGTAGGCAGAGATTATTTCCTGATAGCCAACTGTTAATCTGGCATAGAGTTGGGTAACAAACAGTTGCTTTGTCAGCAGCCTGAAAATCTTGAAAAAGAGGAAAAAGTTCAAGATAATATTTTATATAGAATAAGTTTTATATGTAGGGCACACAACTGTAATCAAGTTTTGATCATTTCTTTTCTTTTCTTTTCTTTTTGGCTAGGCAATGGGGTTAAGTGACTTGCCCAGGGTCACACAGCTAGTAAGTGTCAAGTATCTGAGGTCTGATTTGAACTCAGGTCCTCCTGACTCTAAGGCTGGAGCTCTATCCATTGTACCACCAAGCTGTCTCCTTGATCATTTCTAGTTGGTAGATTTGTCTTCTTCCTTTAATTGTTCAGCTCGGCAATATGTTTAGGAATGTTTAGCAACACTTTTTAGAGAAAGTTAATAATCCATCTTTACCCTTTGATTGGATTGATTTTTCAGGGACAAGCATCAAATACACAACAAAAAAGAAGAATAGACAAAATCTTTTCTTTCTTTTTTTTTTTTTTTAGGCAATTGGGGTTAAGTGACTTGCCTAGGGTCACTAGCTACTAAGTGTCAAGTGTTTGGTCTGAGGCCGAATTTGAACTCAGGTCCTCCTGACTTGAGGGTCAGTGCTCTATCTACTGCACCACCTAGCTGCCCCCGACAAAATCTTTTCAATCCTTCTTTTGAACCAGGAAGAACTGGTCCTAGGGTCTGTCACTAGAGGTCCCAGAAAAAAAATTATTTAAGTGGCAGTTTCTAAGACCCTAATTTCAGTTGAATTTAATACTCACTTGTTAAACAGCTACTTTGTGCAAATACCTGTTCTAGAGGTAGGGATAAGTCATAAATGATAAAGACCCTGTACTCAAGAAACCTTCATTCTTCTGAAGAGATATAATATGTAAAAAGACAAGCAAAAACAAGATAATCTAAACAGGGAGATTGAACACAAACAACTAGTTAAGAAAAGGCTTCCCATAGGAGCCAGTACCAGTACTAACCCCTGAAGAAAGCTAATGATACAAAGAGGCAGGGATGAGGAGACAGGGCATTCCAGCACCAGAGGACAGGCTGTGCAAATGCATGAAGGCAAAAGATGGAATGTTATACGAAAGGAGGAATACCAAGTTCAGGGAACAGCAAGGAATCCAGTCTGACTGGGACCCAGTGAAGAAAAGAGAGTAATACATATAGTAAGGCTAGAAAAGGATGCTGGACTACACTATGAAGGGATTTAAATGTCAAGCACAAAAGTTTCATATTTATCCTAGAGACAATGGGAAGTCACTGAAGGTTCTTGAGCTGGGGACATAATCAGATGCACTTTTTTTTTCAGTTTAACATTCATCTTATTAACAACATTTTCACTAGATGCTACATAAATGCATAATCTACATAAAACAAAAACAAGTTTCATGGGCACAACAGTTAAAAACAACATGGTGGAAGCAAGATAGCAATCACTGGAAACAACCCGGGGCAAAGAGTTTTCACTGCATTCTAAAACAGTGTCTGCAAAAGCTATGATGAGGAGAGATTATCCAGCATGATGAAGCCAGGAAATTTGCACTGACTGCAATCAGATATACTTTAAAGATTATTTTGACAACCATGTGAAGGACAGATTGAAAAGGAAATAACTGTTTCGGCAGAGAGATGATCAATCAAAAGGCAATAGTCAAGGTGAGGGGTGATGAGTACCTGAATCAGAGTAACAGAAAGGATAGATATAAGCAATGACACAGTGGCAGAATCAATGAGACATGGCAAATACCATACATGAGAGAAGAGGTAAAGTAAATAATTGGGGACCTTAATACTAATAAATGGAAGGACAGGGGTACCCACAACAGAAAGAGAGAAGTTTTGAGGAAGGAGGAAGTTTAAGGCAAAAGAAAATAAGTACCATTTGAATACATTGAGTGTGAGAAGCAATGAGATATTCAGGTAGAGCTGTCCAGACAGCAATTGATGATGTGAAAATGGGAGAATGGTAATGTGAGCTCAGAAAAGAGATGGAGACTAGATATATGAATCTGGGAATCATCCACATAGAGATGATATTGAACCAATGGAAGCTGATGAGATCACCAAGAAAGTATGTAGACAGAGGAAAAGATGAAGACCCAGTCTACCCAAGGTTAGGAGCAGAATGTGGAAGATAATCCAGTGAAGGAAGGTCAGACAAACAGAAGAAAAGTCAAGAGAAAGCAGTGTCATGAAAGCCACAGGAGAAGAGTATCTAGAAGGAGCAAATGGTCAGTACTATCAAACACTGCAAGGGGATAAGAAAAATCAAGCCTATGAAACTGCTATATGCTATTACATACATGAAAACAGACTGTTTTATTTCTGGCTCACAATCCTTCACTTTCAACTGTGCATAAAGTTAGGAAATGTTATACCTGAAAAATTAAATTTTTTTAGATTTGGTGATAGAGGACTATTCTGTATGTTGAATCTGTTACTAGTGCTACAACTATATAGATCTTGCATACTGAACCTCTTACAAGTGCTACAACTGAATATTTGTGAATGGATTTTTTTTTTCAGATAAAACTCAATTTAATTTAGTTTTTATTAGCACAATTGCAAAAAAAGGAGACTGATGAGAAAACCCAGACAACAACGAATCAGAAAATTTAGATGTTTTAGCCTAAACTAGAGCAATTTGGAATCAGAAATGAACCTAAACCCAGTTCCACTGACTCAGTAGAGATGGGACTCCATTAACTGTGACTGTTAAACTGCTGCATCTGTGCTTCTATTATATTACTGGATTACAGGCTAGTAATGGAAGATGGAACATGATTATGTATAATAAAACAGTGAGGGAGTTAAGGATGATAGTTCTCTTCAAGTCCATATAGACTGAACTCTCCCCAAAAACCCAATTTACATAGATATTGATGGAGTTTTTTCCCCATGAGATTTTTTTTTTAACAGAAGCATTACCTTTATGATTAGAAAAGAAATTAAGATTGTGGCATTTTCAACTTACTCTTTCATCAATGATTTTCATAAGCCATCTTTTAGTTAAATTATGTCTCTTGACTGCCTAAAAAAAGAGAAACATTTTAAAAATCCTGACAAATTAAAAAACTTGTGAAAATCTGCATGAAACAAATCCAACAAAAACAGTGATTAAGGGAGCAACATTTGCAACAGTACATTATTAAAGAAACAGCAGTGCTAGAAAAGACAACAGGGAAGAAGAAAATGTCAATGGAAAATATTTCAAAGCATTTCCAAGTGAAGAATTTTGCTAGTACTTTTCCACTAACTGGCTGCTTCCCTGAACTATTTAATAATTTAAATGGTTCAATTACTATTAAAATCCCCCCAAAAAACAGCTTTTTTATTTACCTGATGCACCCTGGCTTCACTATAGCTGGTATTTTAAGGCTATCCTGTTATTAAGTACTTCACTTCTAAAATAATACAGATGGTCTCTGAAGAAAAAACTATTTCCTTAAAAATGAAAATAGCACATCCTAAAGAACCAAAAGAAAAATATGAATTATCTATCACTTCATTTTACCTATACAAAGGAGTTTAAGTATTTCCTAGTCATAGACTATTTTAATAACTAATCCCTTTTCAAATTACCCCTCTTCTAAATGTACTATAGTCCTTCTTTCCAAACTTGATCTATCCTTACTGTGGTCTATATGGCTGTCATGGAAGTCAATGTCTCACTGATGCATTCTCATAGTGATTAAGAGAATAGATAAAGCTAAGGCCCTTAGAGCACTCTTTTCTTCATTTAAGGCTCTTAACACTTATAAGTTAATATTTTTCCATAGCCAAGAATAAATTTTAAAAACTAGATCACAGACCTCTTATTTAAAATAGTCTGATCATGATATATGCTAAGGAGACGTGTATGTTGTGAGACAGGTCCCATGCAGCTGGCTCAAACCTGCAGGGAATTGTAGTGCACAGCCTACTGGGGCCCAGCAGTTACAAGGACCCTTGGATTATAAGTATCATTTCAAGAGCTCCCACTCTAATCCTACTGCGACAGGAAGAAGAAACCTTTCTAAATGGGTTCAGCTCCTACTGGTCTGGGATTCATTAGCCTGACTCCAAGTTATAATAGCTTTGTTTTCATTTGAAGGAAGTAAACAATAAATATTTTTTAAAAACAAATTTAGAATATAGCAATTACAAATAACCGGGAAATTATAGAAAGAGAAATAAAAACCCTGACTATGCACAATTACCTAAACTGGAAATTTAAATTTTTACACAAAATACCTCCAAAATACATTCAATAGGGGAATCCCTATATGGAATACATATAGCAATTACGTTATAATTGTTGTTCTATTCCTACTTCTCTTATACTATCACCATCACATTTGACTTCTATAATGTTTTACAGTTTATAGAACACTTTCACAAATAGTTCCTCATCTTTACAACCACCCTGTGAGACAGGTAGGGCAAAAATCTTCCCTATTTTATAGATGAGAAAACTAAGGCCAAGTAATTAAGTGACTTGTCCAAGATTACAGCTAGAAAAGTGTCAGGGTGTGGATTAGATACCAGATCTTCTGACTTCTAGTCCCTAACTGTTTCAACTACAAGGAAGAAATTAAACAATGACAGGAGCAAACTCTGGTAACTGGACAATACATCTTCACTGCTTCTATGCTACACTTTCAAAAAGAACCTGACATTCTATTAAGGAATAATGAAAAGGTTTGGAACAGCTACAAATGAGAATATGTAAAGTGTACCTAGGCAGTACAACTACCCTGAATGCCAACAATTTCTTCCAGATACTCAGAATAACCTTCAAAATTAGTCACATTGCAAAACTGAAGAAACAAGCACGATCACAGTTTAAGTTGCTTTAAAGAGAACTTGATAAGCTGGCAACTATAAATTGATACAAAAAGTAACATTTTATTTTCTATTTCAGATACATCTTCTAGCTTTCTAAGAAAGGCAGATACAAGAATGATTCACCTCCTAAAGCAAATACTCATCTCCACCGTATTTTCAGAAAAACTGACAAAAGCTAGAATATCCTGTGCAGTAGCCTAAGCATGAGCTAACAAGTATAAGGAGTCTGCTACAGCTTGAAGGGTCAGTGCTCTATTGGGAACTGATTCCAGGGGTGGGGAACCTGCGGCCTCGAGGCCACATGTGGCCTTCCAGGTCCTCAGATGCAGCCTTTTGACCAAGTCCAGGTTTTACAGAACAAATCCTTTTATTAAGGGGGTTTGTTCTGTGAAGTTTGGATTCAGTCAAAGGGCCACACTTGAGGACCTAGAGAGTCACATGTGGCCTTGGGGCCACAGGTTCCCTACTCCTGGGTTAGGCTGAGTTTCTTAGGAGATAAATAGAGGGATGAACAACTAATCTAATACCTACAGTTTCCTATCCATTTTTTTCTTCTCAGTTCCCGAGTGTGGGAAGACCTAGTTTCCCACTCCTTAGTGGGAAATCAGAACTATGGCTTGCCCTTGACGGTGACTAGACCTAAGAAAATTTGTGCCAACATTGCTTCGGTTGTAGAACATACATCTAGCTCTGATTACACTTTAGTTATAACATTAGAGGTAAGCAATACAAGTCATTGGCATTTCCTTTCTCTTTACATAGCATGGAAAGGTACTCAACTAGGGGTTCTTGTGTATTAAATGTGGTGTACAAGGAGGTGCTGCTAGCAGTAGATAGAGCACTGGGTCTGGAGTCAAATAGATCAGAAAGACCAGAGTTCAAGTGTGACCTCAGACACTTACTAGCTGTGTGACCCTGGGCAAGTCATTTAACCCCAACTGCCTATTAAAAAAAAAAAAGAAAAGAAAAAAGAAAAAAAGGAAATAGTAAACCACTCTAGTAACTTTGCCAAGAAAACACCATGGACAAGTCCACGAGGTCGCAAAGAAATAGGGGATCACAAAGAATTAGACACTACTGAACAGCAACAACAACATGGAGATGCTCAATGCAGAAATGTTCAAGAGGTCAGTAATGAACACAAAGAGATATTAGGTTATTAACAGAACCTGAATCCAAGGGTTTCCTTTGTATGATACCTAGAATTTATCTTTAAATAGACAGTTTTTATTAACTGTGTAAAGCGGCTCCCGTCTCAAACCCATGATGAAAGCAAATTAGTCCTATATCACAAATAACTAGCACATCTTTCAACATAGCAAAATCAAGGATGGGATTAAAAAGCTTATAAAAGGTGATGATGAACAGTGGGAAAAATGCTTCCCAGGGTTTAAACTCTACAACCAAGCAACTGCAGAGTCACAAAATTTTAGAGTTGAAAGGGACCTCAGGGGCCATCTAGTACAACTCTTACTTTTAAAAGAATCCCCAAAACAACTCACCTAACTAGTAGTCATCTAGCCTCTGTCTGAAGACCTTCAATGGAGAAGGACCCTAGTGCCTCCCAAGGAAGCTCATTCAACTTCTGGATAACTTTTATGGGATTTAAAAAAAATAATAATAATATACATAAATTTGCTCCTTTGCAACTTCCATTAATGTTCCAACCTTTGCCTCTAGGGTCAAGCAGAACAAACATAATCTCCTTTTATATGACAGCCTTTCAAGTACTCAGAGACAGCTATCCCAAACCTTCTCTTCTTCAGATTTCACATGCCCAGTTCCTTCAACTGACTTCAGAGGGCATGTCCTCCTGGACTCAACCTTTCCCACTCCACTGGGAACTCAACCTTTCTCACTCTCCACCAACCTGGACCACAATCCTTCAATAACTTATTTCATCTACTAAGTATGACTTCTAACAGCTGTTATGCCCCAAAATTTTATCACCCTGCAGTCAACCTGGTGATGAGCCTCTCTGAACTTAGCCAGTCTAGTCCTCAAACCACAGACACAGTTCATCACTAGAACTATACCTGAAGTTGTTCTGGCTTGGTAAGACCTTCCAGATTAGCACAGACTTCAAGAACCCAACATTCCCTTCATACCATGATAAACTGAGGAAGCACTTGGAAGACAGCTCTGTGATTGATTTGTGATGGCTTAAAAAAAATAATAACCCAGCTCTGTGTTAATATTCCTTGTAGTGAGAAGTATAACAAGAGCAGCAGATTTATGTTTCAGCTAATTTCAGGTTGTCATATAGTGGATGATTTGAAGTCCCTTTGCCACAGTTAAGAGATCTCAAGCTAACAATTGCCTAAAAATTTAATTTATAATAAAGGACTATGAAATAACACATAGAAGTCTCTAATATCTTCTTCCAGACAACACTAAAAGAAACAAGAATTTTTTTTTCACCTTCCATAGTTCAATGGCTACTGGCTGATGAGGTGGATTACCAGAATATATATCTTCTACAGCTTTCTTCCAAAACTGCATTCGCATTTGGCCAATAGTTTTCTGAGAGACTGAGTCTTTAACCTATGAAAAGAGTTTAAAACTTCAATAAATGCACTGTTTATACATATATGTAAGTATGCAATTGTGGAGGTAATCAGATAATGATCCAGGTCAAAATTAGGATTGCTTATATACATCTGTTTCTGATTTCACCTAAAACTCATATCAGTTAAATTTTTATCACTTATTAGTAATCTAGAGCCCTTGGCTTCAGATTATTTTGTTTTCTATCAGAAAAATCACTTAAGTCTATATTTTATAATTGAGACAATGGGGAGGAAACATGCATTTACCACCTACTGGTAAATGCATTTTGAAGTCTAAGTAACAGCCCTAAGGAATGGTACCTGATGCTCTCCAGTAAACTGTATTCCTCAGAACTGTTAGCCTCATTGCATCCAGGGCCCTAGAAAAGAACCTAGGCCACATGTAAGAGAATGCTAGACTCTGTCCTCCTGCCTTAACTGATTAGAGCAACAACTGTGGTAGATAATTTAAGCAAAATTACTATTCAGGAAAATCAGATGGGAACCTATTCAACTGACAGTTTGGTGCAGTCCTCAGGTTATGTGAATATATACCAAGACGCCAATAATCAAATGTGTCTGAGGACTGAATATGAAGCCCAGAGATTTATTTATGAACCTGTAAATATGGGCCCATCAATTGGGGAATGACTAAACAAGATATGGCAAATGAATGTGATAGAATACTACTGTGCTGTAAGAAATGACAAAGGAGAAGGTTTCAGAAAAGCCTGGGGAAGACTTGCATGAACTAATACAAAGAGAAATGAGCAAAACCAGGAGAACAATTAGAAGAACAAGTGATGCTTACTGTCTCAGGGAGGGAGGAAGTGAGGGAAAGAGACAATTTGGAACTCAAAAAAAAAGTTAAAAATTTTCTTTACATGTAATTGGGGAAAAAAAGAACAACAACTGAGCAGAACAGGAGAATAATAGCAATGTTGTGAAGATAACTTTGAATGACTTAGTAACTCTGATAAAACACAATGATCAACAACTATTCCAAAGGATTCAGGATTGAAGACAGACTCAGAATACAAAATGAAGTATGTTTTTTTCTCTTCCTTTCTTTTTTTTTGATATGGCTAAAGGCATTTGTCTTGTATAACTATACATATTTGCAATACCTTTTGTTTTTCTTGCCTTCTCAATGGGTGCAAAGGTAAGACAGAAGTGATAGAATTCAGAATTGAAAATAAAATAAAACTGAATTAAAAATTAAAAACAAAAAGAGAAGAAACCAAGCATTTAAATGTGGGATGACTGAGTATTTTAAATGTCTTAATGGGAGGAAATAGGGATCTCCCAAGAACAAATGATTGGTCTCTCTCCCTATGACCTCATTAGTTCCTATGGGTTTAATTTATCTCTATTCAGATGACTTGAAGATTTAGTTTCCATTTCTAGTCTCTCTCTTGAAATGGAGTCCCATATCACCAACTGCTTATTTTACATTTCAAACTGGATGTACTATAGGCATCTCAAATTCAATGTCTAAAACAGAACTTTTCTTTCCCCCTGAATTTATCTATCGCTTCCTTCATCCAAATTTCCCCATTACTGTCAAGGGTACTATCATCTTTCAAGGCACCCTTGGTGTCATCCTCATCTTCTTCTCCTTTGCCCCACAAATCTAATCAGTTGCCAAACAATTTCATTTCTACTTCCACAACTTCTCTTACCTCCATCTACTTCTCTCCACTCACACATCCACCATATTAATTCAGGCCCCAATCACCTCTGGCCTGGACTGCTCTAATAGCCTCCTAATAGGTCTCTCTGTCCTGAGTCTCCCCTTTCTCCAATCTAGCCTCCACATAGTTACCAAAGTGATTTTCTAAGTGCAGATCTGACCATATCACTCATAGCTCAATAAACTCTAGCAGCTCTCTATTAACTTTAAAATCAAAAGCAAACTGTTGTTTGGCATTCAATGCCAACAACCTTGCTCCCACCAATGTTTACAGACTTCTTATACATTACTCCCCTTCATGTACTCTTTGATCTAGAAAAATCGGCCTTTTTCTTCCTCAACCACAACACTATCTTCCATCTCATTGACTTTTCACTGGCTATCCAAAACATCTGGAATCCATTCCATCCTCACCTCTATATCTCCCATAAGTATTTTATATTTATTTGGTATGTTTATGTTACTTGCCAGATAAGTTGTAATCTCCTTAAAGGTAGGGACTGTTTCATTTTTGTCTTTGTACCACCAGCATCAAGCACAATGCCTGGCACAAAGCAGGCACTTAATAAATACTTATAGACTGATGGCCGAGACAGTTGAAAATAGAAAGCGAGATTTCTAGCAAGAATAGCCTAAGAGATACTGGCTGAATGTGTCAGGTGGGTAGTTATTCAGGAAGAAATATGGACAGAAACCAAATGGATGCCCAAAAGAAAAGGACAATAGAGGGAGGGGAAGGGAACAAGCATTTCTATAACATCTACTATGTGCCAGGCACTGGGCTAAGCACTTTACTAATATTATCTCTTATTTGATCCTCACAACAACCCTGGGAGGTAGGTGCTATTATTATCCACATTATTTTACAGTTGAGGAAACAGAGGCAAAGAAAAGTTAACAAATTTGCCCAGGGTCATACAGCTAGTAACTGTCTGAGGCTGGATTTGAACTCAGGTCTTCCTGATTCTAGGTCTAGCAATCTATCCACTGTGTCACATAGCTGCCTCAGATAATCCTCTGTAGTTCAAGCAGGGACTAAAGCAAATGGTTCAGTCTTGAACTGGAGGGTGATTGCAAGATAGTGAGGAATAGCATTTCAAGGAGTTGGGCCTATTAAGGAAGGGCCTGTCAATTAAATAATAATGATTAAAGAGGGCCTAAAGAAGACTCTTTAATGGTTTAAACCCATAACACCATATCTGTAATTTATCAGTTATCCATAGCTTGTTTCTACAAATCCTCTTACACTGTAATAGTTCTGTTATAGACTTTAACACACTGTGTGCTGGACTAAAGCTGCAAAGTAAATGTTAGAAAAATAAAAAGCCGTCCAAGGCAGAGAACCTACCCCTTCACTTTATGTCTTTGAGTTGCAACAACGAAACCTTATCTGAACTAAGCAGCAACAAGAAGGGGAAACCAGCTGGGCAATCCTGCAATCTATTTTGGGTACAACTCATCCCTTGGTTGTAGCAGATTAAGTCTTCCTATCAGATCAAGTCTTCCTATCAGATCTTAAGAATCCAAAAGTCTAGTCAGTACGGTTTCATCTCTGCCTCTGGCACCAATGGGACATTGGAGGGACAACCTAAGAATTGTATTCCTGAACATCTGTCCCCCAGATATCCCTAGCTTTTCTAATCTACATCCATTTCTAATGCTAGAGTGACTATAAACTTTGTGGGAATAGAAAAAAGAGGACAAGAAGGGCTAGGACACATTCTGAGGAATGTAAAGGATGATATTTTAAAATAAATGGCAAGTTCTAAGACTGAAGTACTACAGACAGGGCATGGTCAAAGAAAAATTTAAGTAATACTTTAGTGTATAAAAACAAAATTCTCCCCAAATTGCTTATTCCAGGTCAGAGTCTACTCAGCACCTGAATAAAACAAAGATCCCATTTTTCATAAATTCAAAGATACTATCAGCAAATAATTAACATTTGGCATTATGTGTCATTTAAAACTGGAAAAAAAAACCTAACCCTACTCATTTCAATTGCTTAGGACAAGGGCTAATATACTTAAATGCAAAAAAAAACTGCCTATAAACGATAACTTCCCTTCCAATATAATGTCTCCTCACTATGGTGTAATGTTAAATGGTAATTTGCTGCATCTTGGTAGGTAGGTTGCTCTCCCTATAGCTTCCCATTTTTCACTGTTTCTTTACATCAGTCAATACAGCCTCACTGTCAGGGATGCACAGGATAAAGTTCAACTGAATTAATAATCCTGGTTAAAACAGCAAAGTAGTTATTGGCATGTTAAAAAAAATCCTGCATACCCATATATATGACAGTAGCAAAAGCTTTTTACCACACAATCTGGGGAACAACCACAAAAGAACATCACAGGATAAAAACAGGTCTTTAGCTAAGCTCATTTTATTGTATTCTTTCTTACTCTCAAATGATTTCTCAGCACTATTCCCAAGATGAAAGATGTGTGGTGTAGTGGATACAGGCTTTACCTTAGAGCCAGGAAAACTTGGCTTCAAATCTTACCTCAGACACATACCAGCTGTGTGATCCTGGGCAAGTATGTGGAATTCTCTACACTATAAAGCACAGAATGAGCATTTAGTATTAGCAGAGGAAGCTTCTTGATCAGAAGCTCCAGAAACTGCTAAAATCACAGGTCCGGGGGGGGGGGGGGAGAAATCCCAGGTCATGTGATTGACAAGTAGATCCCAGATAGAAACTTGCTAGGCTACAAATCATTTATTTCTGAAACATCTCTATCAACCACTAGTAACATTGTCTTTGCTAAACTGAATGATCAGAAATAAATTAGCAGCTAGGTGATGCAGAGAACAGAGCACAGGCCTGGAGTCAGGAAGACCTGAGCGCAAATCCAACCTCAGACTATTACTCACTGTATGTCCCAGGGCAAGTCACTTAACTTCTGTTTGCCTCACTTTCCTCATCTGTAAAACAGGAATAATACCACCTACCTTCCAGGATTATTGTGAGAATCAAATGAGATAATAACTGTAAAGTGTTTAGCACAGCGCCTGGCACATAGAAAATACTATAAAAATGTTAGATATTATCCTTGTGATTATTATTATTGTTGTGACACCTAAGAAATGTTCATTAGTAACTTTTATAATTGTAACAATTTACTGGCAAAACACATCATTTGGGGGAATAAACAAATACTGATAAAGTGACTTTTGGCTTTCATCATTGGGCTCATTAGCTTTCTAGTCTATCTTTCTTTCATATTTAACTCGAATGAATATCTTTACAAGTAATGAAAACTGATTTATCTCCCCTTTAGTTCACACCAGGTTAGGAAATAAGCACCAAGCAATTCCTAAACCAAACTTTAAACTGGTTTACTATCTTGGAATTATTGCTGGTTTATATGAAAAGTGAATTGAAGAACTAAAATTATCATCTAGATTATTCAATTCTCTAACCTTAGGCAAAATTAAATCCAATAAGTACTTGAGCACCTATCATGTACTTGGACCCAGCACTGTTAAGTATTCTGGGAATTACAAACATACATGCATATAGCTAAGTAAAATTAAGGCTGTATGGCCTAGGAGAGAAAGTGAGGGACCTGGAATGGGGAAATCTCACTTCTTTGAAACTTTCTGTGTGACTTTGTGACTTTCTGTGTGACTCCATATTCAAAGCCCTTCACAACCTTGGCCCATTCCACCTTTCCTGTCTTCTTATACTTTACTCCCTGACATGTATCCTTTGATCGGTAACACTGGCCTCCTGGCTATTCCATGAACAATACTCCATCTCACAGCTATAGGAACTTTCTCTGACTGTCCCCCACTGCTGGAATGCTCTCTCTCCTCAACTCTGCCTACTAAATTCCCTAGCTTCCTGTAAGTCCCAACTAAAATCCCTTCTTATACTGAAAGGCTTCCCCAACCCCTCTTAATTCTAGTACCTTTCTTCTGTTAATTACTTCCTGTTCTCTGTATATATTTGTTAGAAAGTTGTCTCTCATGATAAATGTTGGAGAAGATGTGGGAAAATTAGAACACTAATGCACTGTTGGTGGAGTTGTGAAATGATCCAACCATGTTGGAGAGCAACTTGGAACTATGCCCAAAGGGCAATAAAAATGTGCATTACCCTTTGACCCAGCAATAGCACTTCTAAGGCTATATCCCAAAGAGATCATAAAAATGGGAAAAGGACCCACATGCATAAAAATATTTATAGCAGCTCTTTCTGTGGTGCCAAAGAATTGAAAATTGAGGGGATGCCCATCAATTGGGGAATGGCTGAACAAGTTGTGTTATATGAATGTAATGGAATACTACTGTGCTATAAGAAATGATCGGGGGGGCAGCTAGGTGGCGCAGTGGATACAGCACTGGCCCTGAAGTCAGGAGGACCTGAGTTCAAATCCGGCCTCAGACCAAACATTTGACACTTACTAGCTGTGTGACCCTGGGCAAGTCACTTAACCCCAACTGCCTTTAAAAAAAAAATGATCAGCAGGCAGACTTCAGAAAAACCTGGAAAGACTTGTATGGACTGATGCTGAGTGAAGTGAACAGAACCAGAAGAATGTTGTACACAGTAACAGCCATGTTGTGTGATGACTGACTTTGATAGACTTAGCCCTTCTCAGCAATGCAAGGATCTAAGACGTCTTCAAAAGTCTCATGATGGAAAATTCTATCCATATCCAAAAAAAGAACTATGGAGTTTGAATGCAGATCAAAGCATACTATTTGTCATTTTTTTCTTCTGTTTTGTTTTTTTCCTCTTTCTTGTGGTTCTTCCTATTAGTTCTAATTTTTCCTTACAACATGACTAATGTGAAAACTAAAAAAAGAAAAAAGTTGTCTCCCTCCACTCAACTGTAAGCTCCCTGAGGCTTGTCTTTTGCTTTTCTTGTATCCCTAGCACTTGGCATAATATCTGGCACATAGTAGGTGCTTAAATGTTGACTAACTGATTGACCATGGAAGTCACTTAAGTTTCCTAAGCCTCAAGCAACTCTGAAAGTCCTGTAGTTATAGACATGTAATAGCAATTAAATGACAGATGCCAGATAGATGAGACACAGGAGCAGCTTCATGTAGTGGAAAGAGCACAAGACCTGAAGTCAGAGGACATAGGTTACAATCCTTCCTCTGCTACTTACTACCTATGTGACAGCCTTTCTAGGCTTCTCACAATCTAGCAGAGAAACCAAGACTTATAAATATGAAACTGATAATAATTTATTCAACAGAAATTTATTGGGTCCCTAATATCTACAAGGTGCAGTGAATGTTATAAAATCAGAGTGCTATGAAACATCCTCAAAGAGCTTACAACAGAATTAGATATGTAATAATAAGAACCAAAACATGATTAATTGGTAAAATTAAGCTGACACTGATAATAAATAATAAGTATTCTAAGTGTTCAAAAAAGAAAAATTAATGTTAGCTAGTGAGGTCACAAGAGGCTTTAAAATTGTGCTGTAAGAAATAACAAAGGGGATGGTTTCAGAAAAATCTGGGAAGACTTATATAAGCAGAAGTAGGAGAACATTGTACATAGTAACAGTAATATTGTAACAATAATCAACTGTGAACTTAGCTACTCTAATCAATAACAATAATACACAACAATTTCAAAAGATTCATGAGGAAAAATACTACCCACCTCCAGAGGGAAAATGGGTGAATTCTGAGCACAGAATAAAGTATGTATTTTTTCACTTCATTTTTCTTGCTTTTACAACATGGCTAAAATGGAAATATATTTTATATGACTTTCTATGTATAATGGCTGTTGTATTTCTTGCCTTCTCAATAGATGAAGGAGGGAGAGAATTTGGAATTGAAAATAAAAATAAAAATAAAAAAAAATAAAAATACTTTTAAAAAAAGGAGCAACTTTAATAGAAATAAACCAACCTAGGCTTTGAAGAACTGACATAATTTGAATAGGCATAAAAGAAAAAGGACAGCATTCTAGATATGGAAAATATCATGGAAAAATACAGAAAGAGTAATGTTATATGGCCTGAATTATCTATCTAGATCAACGGTAGCAAACTCAAACAGAAATGAAAGCCACTAAATGAAACATAAGGATCCCTGTAGGCTGCTTTAAAAAGTAATATTATTTATTTTTTATATTTTTATTTATTTTGTTAAATATTTCCCAATTACATTTCATCTGGGCTGCACTATGGGCTGCTGGCCTGCATGTCTGACAACTCTGATGTAGAGAATGGCCTCCAATGTTCCCTTTACATGCAGAGATACAACCTTAACTGAGATAATAAGTTTGAAAGTGCTTTGGAAAGTCAAAAGTGCTACATAAATAAAAGGGACTAATTATGCAATTGTTTCATAAAACTCAACAATTACATATTAATTTCTTATTATACAAACAATAGACAAGTAGACCATAGTATCTCTATGGTTTTTCTATTATTTCTTTTTCACCTTTTAACCTTTGAAAAAATATCTAAAAGCCCCAAATTGGAATGCGCAGAACTGGAAGTTTACCAATTAAAATTTGAGATGGGTTCTTAAAATTAACTTTACTTCTATATTTAGCATCTAAATAATTTATAACTATTAATTATTTAATACATAACTAATTTTCTTTACTATACAGACTTTAACCTCAAACATAAACATTAACATTTTCAGCTAACTATTTTAATTATTTTAATACCAGCCTGAGCCAGTTCCACATTGAAGGCTCTCAATGCAAAAGCAGAGCTTCGGGCTTCTGCAGGCAGTAACAGGCAACATAAATATCCTTCATAGTCTCGTTTCCTACAAACAAACAAAAACAAACAAAAAGTTATTAGTTGCTTTTTGAATTCTATATAAAAATAAATTCAGCCTGTTAATTTATAAACAGCAAACTTCCAATTTTGAATAGGTTTGAAGGTCAAGATCAGCATGGAAAAAGTTTTATTTATTAATTCAGACACAAATTAGGTATCTTACAATCCTTTTTAAAAAACTGCTGTACTGAAGTTTCTTATTTTACTTCCTCTCAAGGCCAAATACAGAGAAACTGTACCATAGGATACTTTCTGAGGGGATGTGGCCAACTTTGCAAAACATTAAGAAAAAATTGTCAGGAGAATAGTACAAGTGTTTTTTGGTTTTGTTTTTAATAGCCAGATACTTTACAATTTAAAAAATACATAATCCTGAAAAATGATGAGGCCTATTTTTTTAAAAAATGGCAGCTGGGTGGTACAGTGGATAGAGTGCTGGCCCTGGATTCAGAAAGACTCATCTTCTTGAGTTCAAATCTGGCCTCAAGACACTTACTAGCTGTGTGACCCTGGCTAAGTCACTTAACCCTGTGTGCCTCACTTTCCTCATCTGTAAAATGAGCTAGAGAAGGAAATGGCAAATCACTCCAATATCTTTGCCAAGAAAACCCCAAATAGGGTCACAAAGAGCTGAACATGACTGAAGAGCAACTAAACAACAAAGTTTTAAAAATAATAAACTACTGGGGCAGCTAGGTGGCGCAGTGGATAGAGCACTGGCCCTGAAGTCAGGAGGACTTGAGTTCAAATCCAGCCTCAGATCAAACACTTGACACTTACTAGCTGTGTGACCCTGGGCAAGTCACTTAACCCCAACTGCCTAAGCAAAAAAAAGAAAAAAAAAGAAAAAGAAAATAATAAACTACTCAACATATATTGATTTGTCTTAACAATACAGTATGTACAATTTAAAATCTTTCAGAACTACTTTTGCTTTAAGTAGTCAAAGAGATACAGATACAGAAATCAAATTACAAAAATAATATGCTACAGTGTTCTTTCCATTATATTTTTATCATTTAAAGCAATTTATACACTACGAGTTTTTTTTTTTAATTTCAGGAAAAAAAAACATGATGCAATATTCTATGGACTTGGGGGTGGGGGTTAAGTAATCTTTGTCCAATTCTGAAATCTTCTTTTGGAATTACGACTTAAACAAAAAGTTTTCATTGACAGTATTTTTACCACCACATCTCAAACAAGGGATCTAAAACAGCCATGTGGTTTCTGCCACTAGGGGGCACTTGGAAATTAAAAACCAAAATAAGTCAAGTAAAATACATCAAAATGTTATACAGGTAAGAATTGGGCCAGCTGTTTTTCTCTTGGGGAATCTACCTTGCTATCAGTTCCAAAAATATTTCTGGGTTGTTTCCTAAAATAAAGAGTTTTATCTGATCACAACTATCTAAACCAAAATAATATTTATACTTCATAAGGTACAGAGTGTGAATCCTTCCAAAGATGTACAGCATTTGACTGAAGATCAAGTGGTCTCTGCTTCAAATCTAGTAACCATCTTCGGCTACCTCAATTTTTAGTCACTCAAATTACTCTAGGAATTTCAATCCCCTTCTCTTCTCAATCTCATCCCAGCAAACCTGCTGGGTGACCAAAGACAGAAACAAGTGGCTGCCCCCAGCCTCCATTAAGGCTTCCCTTAACCATTCAAAGCTAACTGAATGAAATTTCTGGCAAATTCCAACTTCTCCATGCCATGTTAAAGTTGCCTCTGCTCCTCTTCTCCTGGAGCCAACGTTGCCTTGATCTGCTGGTCTATTCTTTCAATATGAGCTCTAGAGATCCCAGTCCATCTCAAAAGCTCAAAGATGCCCAGATGTTCCCATCCATCCTTATGTAATAAGGATAGAGTGCACTCCTATGGAACATTCTTGAACTTGACCTGGGATCTTAACCACTTTTAGTGACACAGGCTTAGTGCTAAAAGACTCTGTGATGACATGGCAATTCTGTGACAACAGTTGGGAGGGGGCTTTGTCAAAGAGGACTGGCCACTGAACCAGGAAGAATCATCCACTCAGAAAACTTTAAAGGAGTGACAAGATCCCCTCTCTATCTCTTCTCTCCATAAAGTGTGGCATGAAACTTTCTCTGGGACTTCTTAGGAGGAGGGAAGGTGGGAAATGTAGTTGTAATGGCTGCCTGCATATGGCAAAGAGTATACTCTGCTTAGCTCCAGGTTAATGGTTTTACTCTACCTTCACTACTTTTTTTTTTTAAAGCTTTACTTAAACCCATCACTCCTTCAGACTAACATCTACATTTCATTTTCTTATCACAACCAAACTCCTAGAAATTGTCATCTATGCTCTTTGCCTTTCTTTACTTCCTCTCCTCCGACTTAATTCTCAAACCCTTGAATTCTGGCTTTGGATCTCACCTCTCAAGAAAATTATCTCAACAATGTTAGCAACAATCTTAACTGCTCCATCCTTCTTAACCTCTCCATACCATGTGACCCTTCTGATTATTCCCTCCTTCTACCAGAGGTGAAGGATCTGGGGCCTCGAGGCTGCAGGTTCCCCACCCCTCGGACACTCTCTTCTCTCTTGGCTTTCATGAAGCTACTCTCTCCTGTCCCTCCTTCTACTTGTCAGAACTTCTCAATCTTTCCTGGTAGATCATCATTCCGGTCTCATCTCCTAACGACAGGTGTCCCTCAGAGCTCTGTCTTGGGTTATTCTTCTCTTTTCTTTCTACACCCTCTTGTTGCTGCCAGCTCCCATGTGCTCAATTATCATCTATATATCGAGTCCTAGCCTCTCTCTTAAGCTTAATTCTCACATCACTGGCTACCTCCTGGATATCTCATAGGCATCTCAAACTCAACATATCCAAAAAGAACTCTAGGTCTTCTTCTGTAAAACCCATCCCTTCCTCCAAACTTGACTATTTCTGTTAAAGGTATCATGCTATTTCTACTCTTGAAAGTTCTCAACCTCCTTTCCCTCTCCCTTCACTCCAATATTCAATGATATGACAAGTCTTGTTGATTCCACCTCACAACATCTCTGATTAGTTCTCTTCCCTCTACTTATGTTGCCACTACCTTAATTTAGGCTGTCATCACATATGATCTAGACAGCATGGCAGAGTGAAAATAGTGATACACAGTCAGGAAAACCTGGGTTTGGGTACCATCCCAGACATACTAGTTATGTGACCACTTGGCAAGCTGCTTAACCCTTCTTGGGCTCAGTTTTCCTCATCTGTAAAATGAAGAGACTCAATAACCTCCAAGATCCATTCCAGTTCAAATCTATGATTCTATGATCTACAATCCTGTGACTATTAAAGCAGTCTCCTAATTGGACTCCTGGCTTCCAGCATCTCCCTTCCTTATCCTCCACACAGCTGCAAAAATAACTTCTTAAAAGCACAAATCCACTACGTCAGTCTCTTGATGAAGGATAAAATACAATTCCTTAGCTTGGAATTTAGAATCTGGCTCCAGCTTACTTTTCTAGTCTTATTTTACAACACTTCCCCTTCACATACTCTTGTCTCAAACTGGACATCTGCAGTTTTCTGAACTTGGAATTATATTTCCCACCTCTGTCCCTTTTCACAGGCATTCACATCCATTCCTGGAAAGCACTTCCTCCTCTGAGAAACTCTAAATTTCCTCAAAGCTCAGCTCACGTGCAATGTCTGAGATAAAGCTTTTTCTGATTCCTATAATTATTAGTACTTTCTCCCTCCTCAAATTATCAGGGAAATATTTACCTATTTTAGGTCATATTCCACCTGCCTAGTTCCAGTGGCATTACAAACTCCTTGATGGCTGAGTACCTCCCCCATCCCTGCTGGCCCTGGAATCTGGAAGACTCATCTTCATGAGTTCAAATCTGGCCTCAGACACTTTCTAGCTGTGTGACCCTGGGCAAGTCACTTAACCCTGTTTGCCTCAGTTTCCTCATCTATAAAATGAGCTGGAGAAGGAGATGGCAAACCACTCTAGTATTTTTGTCAAGAAAATCCTGAAAGGGGTCATGAAAAGGACATGACTAAAAAAAAGACTGAACAGCAAATAAGTATCACCTCAGTCTACCTTTCTGTTTATGTTTACAGCCAATCTGATTCCAATATGTATTGGGAATACAAAGATAAAAAATGTAATTTTAATTTACATAGAGGGGTGGAGGGAAGGAGTAAGTCAGTATATATATATAGGAGGCACTTATTAAATGCTTGTTGAATTAAAATGAATTATCCTAGAGGCAAAAGGTTGTCACTGAAGTTTACTTAGTAGGGGAGTGAAATGGTCAGATCTATGCTTTATGAATGTCAATTTGACAGCTGGGAAAAGAAGCAGAGAGACAGATTAGAAGGCTATTGCAGTAGTTCAACTGAAAGAAAATGATGGCCCGCACTAGAGTGGTAGCTGTGTGAATATAGAGGGGGAAAAAAAACTTACGATAGCCTGTACAAGTAGAACCAACAAGATTTAGTGATAGTCATAACTATAAGGTTGTGAAACTGGGTGAAATAGAGAAATTATCAAGAGAGGTGTGTTTAGGAGGAAAGATAATGAATTTTATTTTAAACATCATATTTGAGAGACCTATGGAACATCTAAATGGAGTTATCCAGCAGCCAGGTGGTAATGAAGAACAGGAACACAAGACAGAATTAAAGACTATATACTGGCTTAGAAGTCACTTGCATGGAGATGGCCATTGAATTACAAGAGCAGATACCAATTAACAAGCATGTATTAAATATCTATTACCTTCCAAGCACTGGGATTACAGAAACAAGTGAAACAATGTCTATCTTCAAGAAGCTTATGTTCTATGGTAATTACACTCTATGGCACAGAAAAACATATACACATGTATGCATACACAAAAGGTGCAGGATGAGTTCTGGGGTGCAAAAATGTATGACAGGTAAAATATGGATGATGAAGTAACAAAGGAGATTAAGAAGTGATCAGACAGGTAGAGAAGCAATGTTTTG